GACAATCATATTTCAGAGGAAAGAGGGAAGGGGGGGTGGAGGGTAGTAAGAGATTAACCAAAGAAGTTATATACATATATGCATAACCCATGGACACAGTCAATAACTGGGTAAAGGCCTGGGGAGGGGGTGGGGGCGAGGTGGAGGGGATCAATTGGGAGAAAAAATGGGACACCTGTAATACTTTCAACAATAAAGATAAATTTTAAAAAACAACAACTGTTATCTTCAATTTTCTGTTCAGAAATCTTTCAAATATAATATTCAGTGTGAATTGGAAAGCTGAGAGATACATTTATAACAAAATGTAAAACAACAACTCCTCTTAAAAACCAGTTGTGTCAAATTTCTCTTTGGAAAAATCAATGTTAGGAATCACATTCTCATGTGACACTTTTTTTTTATCCTCACCTGAGGATATTTTTTTCCATTGCTTTTAAGAGAGAGTGGAAGGGGGGAGGGAGGGAGAGAAACATCAATGTGAAGGGGACACATCGATTGTTTGCCTCCCACATGCCCTGCAACCCAGGTATGTGCCCTTGGCTCGAATTGAACCCAAGACCCTTCAGTCTGTGGGCCAACTTTCTAACCACTAAGCCAAACCAGCCAGGGGAACATCTTTTTTATTATATATCTTTTAGATTTATAACCAAACTGAAGTATATCACATGGATCTAAAAAGATACTTGAAGCTATTCATTATCACCCAAACATGCCTATAGTACTTTCAAAAACAAAATATGGCAATTACTGGTACAGAAAATTAGCTACCAGGGTAAAAGATAAGGAGATGGGCAGGAGAGAGGTGAGCCCAAACCAATTTAACATCTACCTAAACAGAGATGAAATGCTATCATCTTAAAAATATCTGAGTCTTATAAGAATTCCTCCTAAAAAATTAAAGAAACTTAAGATGCTGTGTTTTACACTGTATGTAAAGTATGTTCTTGATACATAATAAGGAACTTATCAGATTCCTTCTAAATATACTCAAATCTTCACTGAAATGGAAAACTACCACTCAAAAGAAATAGAGTAACAAGCCCTCAGCTTTAAGAGACCCCAGAAGTTAAACATCTTGGCCAAGGTCACATGGTAGGTAGTAGCAGAGGTGGGAGCTGTGATGATTAACTGGCAGTCACGTGGCTTAACTGGGTAATCCAGAGGAAAGTTATGAGCCAGTCGCTAAGTTTTTTTGTGTGTGTGATATACTAAAGTTCTATTGTAGAGTATCTGAGAGACTGCACACAATCCTATTTTGGTTTGGATCAACAGCTTGGATTGTATGGCTGCAATATACAGCTGCTTATTTATAGATATTAAATATCAGCCTCATCTTAGGAGTTGAGAAAACTGCACAACAAGATACTCTAACACTTTTCACTATGAAATAAATATTCTTGATCACTGGTTCCCCAATTGGCTATGCACCAGATTCAGCTAGGGAGCTTACACACACACACACGCACGCACGCACGCACGCACCTCATCCCAGACCTGCTAAATTAAATATTAACTACTCTAGGAATGGCACCTGGAATCTGCGTTTTATAACAAGCTTCCCAGGTGATTCTTATTCTGCAGCCAGCCCAGCATCAGTAGAGACCCAGGTATGGGACTACTCTTCCAGACAGTAATAATACAACAGAACATTTGGGAAATAATTCTGCTTCTAAGCATTTGTAAAGTTTTTCCTTTTGGAAGAAATTGCCATTATGTGGTATACAGAATATTGACTTTAACCAACGGGAAAAAATGTGAGCAAATTTCCTTAAGAAATAAAACGATCTTTATTGTTTGTTTTAGAAGCAATATGTTGAGCAAATGGACAAGCAAATATCTAGAGAAATACCGTACATCAACTAGTGGCTTAAACACTTGAGAAAAAAACCATGAGAAGTATTTACATGGACCAGTTTCCTTATACAAATGCTAACACATGAAAAACACCCAGAACCATCTAGAGTGTTAGACCATCAAGGTGTAAACCCAGTAAAGCAAATGAAACTACAAAAGGAACAAAGAGCATGTGGCTATAGGAAATAATAATGGAAATAACTGTATATAAACTGGCCCACGTAAAATACAAAAGTATTCAATGAAATCAGATTTTTCTAGAAAACAGTGCTAATTAGAGGTATTTTAATATGAATCAGGTATATAATTAAATGTAGAAACTTTTAGAAACATTAACAGCATTAAGCCAGTGCCATCCACTTATGCTTCTAACTTGTTTCTTTTTTAAAAAAGCTGCTTTCTTTTGACTCATGAGAAATACCTAAGGCCTACGTTCTTGTAAGCATTATCTATTCTTCTAAGGTTAATAATCTTACACTAAGATACTATTTAAATAAAAAATATTTTTAAAAAATCAGATTTATATTTAGTCCTTTATAAGTGCCTTAAGCTGGCAATGCAGATCATTGTAGCTTTAAGAGAGGGACTGATCAGGGATCTGATTCTGAGCCAGTAGATTTTCATGCTACTCTAAACAGAGAGCAAATTTAAGTGGAAGAAAATATTCAGCACTCCAATATAACTCGAAAGACAGTTATAGACATACACATGCTAACAGGCAATTGCTTGTGTGTGTGTACTTAGCTAGACTACCAAATTACTTCAACATTAATAAGATTTTGGAACCCAGATATCTCATTTTCTAGTGAATGGGGATACACATAATCTCCCACTCCCAAAAAACTCAGGCACCTTTGGTATATGGCTGTATATTAACAATTTCTAAATATTTGCTCAGCCATTCCAATAAAAAACACCTAGAAACAGCAAGAAATACTTGATATGTTAATCATGAAGCTGAAATGTTTTGTTTTCTCATATAAACCTTAGGTGGTGCACGGTAGATGGACAACTGGTGCATCTCCCCAGAGGAAAAAACGGAACACAAAATACATGAATTAATAATGATTCTACCATAATGAACAATAATAATGTAAGTTTTGATTAGCACAGAGCCATTTAAATGGGAAAACCAAATTAGTAAATGTTGTAGCAATCAATGTAAGCTGGAACCAAAGAAAAATTTTTTAATGGAGAAGACAGACTTTTGGGTTAGGTGCAAGTTACTTTGTAAGTGTTAAGTGCTCTTCTTTATCTAGGTTCTAGGACATACTGGCATTTCTTCTTTAAAGAAAAGAAAAAACAAGAAAGGAATAAAATGTACTACCGCCAGCTACCAAGGATACTGGAAATGTAAAGAGAAGTCTACATTAACTTCAGCACTGCAGGTAGAGGCCAATTTACGGGTACAAAGGACTAATGCCCGGAATTGGCACTGCCTAGCAATTATCTCTAAAGCACCCAGAAAATTGAAATGCCCAGCTGGAATAGTCTTGTATCTTGCAATTTAAAAGATTGAAACATCCAGTTCTTTTAAAAAGGATTAAGCAATAAGCTTAACACCTATTCTAAAATTTCAAAAGCCTTGCATCTTTTGTCATTATAGCCCCATTAAATACAAATGTATTCAAAAGGCATTAGGAAAGCAGCCCTTGCTAAGAACATAATAATACTAGACTCTGTTTAAATCTACTGGCATATCTCTCATAGGTCAAATATGTAGCAATGTCAAAGCAGCTAAGTTAACCTGCAAACAAAATCACAGAAAAAAAAAAAAAAAAGCAAAAGAAGCAAGTACAAATCCACTGTAGACAGTATTGTCTCAATTCAACCACATGCAAGAAAACAAATCTCTTTTTAAAAACTGTTTTTCCTAAACTGTATATTTCTAGTCAGAATATCTAAAGTAAAAAAGCTGAAACACTAATTCAAGCCAATAAAAAAGAACCTATAATCCAGGTGATTTTGCACATGCCTTTTGCTGTAGAAATAACAATTTAAATGCCTTGGTTGGGAAAACCAAATTCACATGACCAATTTGTAGTTTATAGTTCTGGGGTGTTTGTATTTAATTAAGTATGAAATCCCCCATACCACCAGTTCTAAGATCAGAACTACAAGTAGATATACCTTCAATTGAATGGTACTGCATGTTGGAACTTGTACTTGCTTTATTACTTGGGAACAGAGATCACACATGGATTAGTGTTACAGAGTTTGATATCCAGCATAACTTTTTCTTCTGCCAATTAGGTAAGCAATCACTATAACGACAATCAAGCCTGAAAGACCAGCACCAACTATAATTGGTATTAGAATGGTGTCATCATCCAGCGAACACTCTTGGGCTGTAGGTGAGAAAAAGTGTGTGACAAATAATGAGTATAATCAAAAAAGAATGTTCAAAAGTAAAAGTTGCTGATTCAAAAGTCAGAAACGCTTTTACAAGTTCAACTTTAAGTAATTAAGACAGGTATATTTTAAAATCGTAAAACTTACTTGTCCTTTCATTTGTGTATGTGTGTATATATCCATATATATGAATACATCCATATGACACATACATATGTTTGTTTATACTCAAAATCCTTTCCAAAACAAGAGTATTTATCAAAAATGAAGAGAGCTGTCCAGTGTTGCTCAGCGGTTGAGCACTGACTTATGATCCAGGAGATCGAGGTTCGATTCTGGGTCAAGGCACATGCCCAGGTTGTGGGCTCCATCCCCAGTGAGGGATGTGCAGGAAGCAGCCGATCAATGACTCTCTCATCATTGATGTTTCTCTCTCTCCTCTCTCTCTTCTCTCTCTCTCTCTCCCTCCCTCCCTCCTTTCCTCTCTCTGAAATCAATAAAGACATATTTTTTAAAAAAAATGAAAAGAGCTAATCTAGCCCATTTCACATGGCCAGATGAGCCTCTTAGTGGTAGCCTGAATGTCTTTTGGGGGACTGGGACCAGATCAGGAAGGTTTAATCATGGTATTAGGATGGCCAAGAGCTAAAAAATGACTTTTAAACATTTTTCAATGGTTGAAAAGAAACAAAAGAAGAATATTTTGAGGCATGAGAATTATATGGAATTCAAACTTTAGTATCCACAAATAAAGTTTTATTGGAACACAGCCACACTCATTTGCTTATTGCCTATGGCTGTTTTTGTGCACAATAGCAGAGTTAACTAGTTGTGACAGAGACAATATGGCCTTCAAACATAAAACACCTAGTGTCTGGGCCTTTACAGAAAAGTATACAGATCCCTGACTTAGAGTACATGGTTTTAGTGGCTACAAAAGTCAAGAAACTGGGATCTCTTACTAATTTGAGTGTGTTTATTACATTTATCATAAATCAATCAATCTGGCCAGGACTGGCAGTCCACAGGGGCTATTTTTTCTATTCCTAGGGAGTGGTCTGATCCAGTAAAAATCCAACCAACACTCTTTTACCTTGCTGCAAGTCTATTTCTTTCTCCTATATAGTCAAGTATTACCAGTGCATTGTACTTATAGGTACCCACAGTCAAGAGCCTAGCCCTACAAATTGATGATGCATTCATTATCAACACAGGGTTTGGCAAAAGTAGGTTTACACTTGTTTGTATGGAAAAATACAAATTAATAAATAATAATGCAAGAATAAGCTGTGTTTCTCACACAACTGAAACCTACTTTTACCCACTCCTTTATTAAATGTTGTATACTTCTTTGGTGACATTTTAAATTCTATGTACATAAAAAGCAAAGTTTCAAATGAGAGAAATTGCAGAGTTCATCTCTATTACAGACTAGATGTACTTGAGCTGATAGTACACTGCAAATGATTTTAAATTCTAAACACCTATCTGGACCTAAAATTAAGGTAATTATGTAGAGGAGCTAGATAAAGACTCAAGAAGAAAATTATTAAAGGGTAAAAATAATTGAAGTAAAAAAGAAAACCAAACAAAAGGGAAAATACATTTTTGAAAATGTTTCTAGGTGTGATTAACCTCTCTTGTCACAAGAATGACAGGGTGAAGAACCCAATTTATTCTGACCTAACGCAGTCAGGCTAGGTGCACAGCACTACTGCAAAAGTAGCTGAATGGCTCAAAGCATATTTACTTTTAAACACAACTTCTATATTTCCTTCTAAGTCATGGAATTCATTGTTTAAAATGCTGTGGAGGACTGGACTAGCTGTGCTCAGCAGAGCTGCAACCCACAAACCTCCCAATTTTAAGTAAATGGTTTCAAAGGACAAGTCAGTTAAGGAATTTCACGTACTTTTTTCCTTCTTGCAAATTTTAATCTTGTAATGCCAAATGCATCTTTCATATTTGTATAAACACACTGTAATGAGCCCTTTGCAAAGGTTTCATTAAAAATTTGATAAACACTATCATTAGGGCTGAGTAGATCTTCATAAAGGCTCGTTCACACTGGTAGGTGCTTTTAAAATTCTCCAGATCATTCTGGCTCACCAAAACATAGTTCATGATATTTGAGGCATTGCTACTGCAATCTTTTGTCTCAACAAAATATGACCAAACTGCTTTTATTTGAGTATGAAAATGTCTCCAGCTAGATGATGGCTCCAAGGCAGATGCCCGATGCTCAAAGCTGCTGCTCCCAAGTGCCATCCTTCCCACAAATGGAAGTAAAGTTCACGTAAAGCTCCTGCCAGTTTTTAGCTTTAAGAACTTTGTTGAAAATGGTTTTCAGATCACAAAAACATCTACTTTGAGCAAAATGGCTCAAGGCTTTGAGAATTCTACAATGGAGTCGAGAGATGAATTCATATTTCTCTATTTCAATGCTTAAGTTTCCATGACTCAAAGGAAAGGTCAACATAAGGCCATCAATTATTAATACAACTGGCTTGACTCTTACCTGTAGAATACTTTCCTTCTATCACATTGAAAGGCTGAACCCTTAGATCAAAGGTATTTATCTGAAATGCTCCAGACACGGAAACCGTCTGCTCTTTGTTGCACATATAAGAACTTCCCAGGGGGGCATCCCAGTAGCTAAGATTGTTATTGGCAATGCTGAAAACTTTAGAGGAAAAAAATATGTTAGTGACTTCTTATCCTATCAACATAAAAAAGTGGAACAGTCCTTAGGATTTTTCAGTGAAGTATAAGAGCTTGGGGTACAAGGTCTACCTACAAAAAGCAATTTTTCCGATCACTGGGTTCCTTATCTTTCCTTTTGTCTAAATTTAAGTATAGTTGGTATACAATATTATATTAGTTATATTAGTTTCATGTGTACAATACACATTTTGTACATGATTCAACATTTTTATACCTTACAATGTGATCACCCCACTAATTCTAGTCATCATTTGTCACTGCTCCCTGTTTTTCTATAGATGTTTCTATAGTCTAAAAATCAGTCAGTCCTTAACTACTATCCACCATGATTTGAAAATACAGGATACTGCAAAAGATAGAATTCTATAGTTCTAAGTTACTGATTTTAAGTTGTGGTCAAGGTATGATTTCCACATGAAATCTTCTGTCCCATTAAATAAGGCACTATTTAATAGCAAGACAATTATGGTTTCCATTCCTTCAGTGTAACCCACACTCTTTTCCCCAAGGCCAATAATTTGCTTACCAGAGCCGTTAACCAAATACATGCTGACATTCACTTCCTTCAGATAGAATCGGTTTTCATTTTTCTGATTAAAAAAGAGTTTGCAGTTAATCAACACATCACAACTGTTTACAGGTACAGTTGCTATCTACAGAAGAAAAGCAATCTAATACCATTGCCCAAAAGATAAAACTGTGAATTAGACCTGGCCAGTAGAATAAATTGTAAATAAGTAAAGAAAACTCAAAATGTGACAAAAACTCTTTCCCTCTGCATTTTGTTTCCAATTTTTGGACCAGAGATGTAGTAGTCATATGGTTCTCAGACACTCGACAACTCATTCCTTCCATTTCATTCTTCCTGTCACTGGCTAAGCCTTCACCACCTCTAGGTTGGATCTTAATAGCCTCTTAACTGGGCTTCCTGCCTGTCAGCCTCTCAAGCACAATCTTTCCTTCACTGCTATTATTTTTCTGAAGCACTCATCTGATCAGCCAGTCATTCCAATTATGTCAGTGCTTAGTATGTACAAGGTAACATACTGAAGTGCTCCAAGGAGCTAGCAAAATGAGCCAGACTTGAATCCTGCCCCCATGTTTGCCACCTGCCAGGGAAGATAAGATAAATACAGGAGTCCCCCTTTATCCAGTTTCCCTTTCTGTAGTTTCACTTTCCACAGTTTCAGTTGTTCATGGTCAACCACAGTACACAAATATTAAATGCAAAATTCCAGATATTTGTAGAGAGAGAGACCACATTCACATAACTTGTATTATAGTATATTGTTCTAATTGTTTTATTTTATTCTTTATTGTTAATCTCTTACTGTGACCAATTTATAAGTTAAATGTATCATAAGTATGTATGTATAGGAAAAACATAGTATATGTAGGGTTCGGTACTATCTGTGGTTTCAGGCATCCCTTGTGGGGCTTGGAATGTTCCAGTGGGTACTGGAATTCACTGGTCATATAGGTACTATACACAGAGGAATAATTTGAATGTTAGAAAAGGGAAGCTTTTTTTGTAAACCTTTCTCAAATATAATTAGATATAATCCTCAATTACTCGGCATATATTCCATAGAGAAAAAAGGCTTTAGACTCAAGAAACCTAGTTCAGATATGAAACAAATAATAACAAACCTAATTTTTTCCTATATCAGATGTGGAGACTATTTCCCCATCCCTTAGATACACTGTGTGATTTAAAAGCAGAACTGTTTTCTACCCACTTATACAATAACTTAGTTTAAGAACTGTTGGTGTTTCAACATTTTCCCTCACCGATAGCAATCCCCTCTTTTTCATTCTCATTGGCTATAGCTTGTGCATGTGCAGGAGTGAGCGCGCACACGCACACACACACCCCCCTCAAAAAATGGTGGGGATAATAACTGCTTCTGAGAAGGTAAAAATAAAGGTTCCCAATGATTCATTTATGCTAGCAAGAAGTAGAGAATGTATGCTTAACCTGGAACTTTCTCTTTAAGGTTCAGCCCTTGATACAAGCATGAACAACAAAAACTTGAATGCTACCATTATAAACTGTTCTGATTTAATGAATTAATGCATGTTAAGTGCTTATACAGAGTCTTGTAGATACCAAGTACTCAATAAATGTTAGCTGTTACTACTGATACTATTACAAATAGTATAGCCTCCAAAATGCCTAAAATATTATAGTACACAAACACGAGTTTTCTAACCAATAACAGAGAAAATAGTATGTATATTACTTTATTTTATATACATATATATACATATATATGTAAAAAATATATATATATATGGAGAGATTAGACAGTTTATGTGGGTTAATTCTTGCTCCTACCCTAAGGTCTATATAACAGAAGAATAGCCACAATTGGTGAATATTAATATGAGAGTCCAGCCCACAGATGGCGGTAACCCTGAGGGATTAACAGGAATCAATGGACTACACTCTATAATTAAGTAGTGTTGAAACCGAAAATAGAGCTAAATATCCCCCCAAAACACACACACACACACACACACACACACACACACTACCCTATTTATACTTTCAAATGTCTTTCTGAGAGAATGAATCTAATTTTAGAAAAATCTATTACTCACCACAGCAAAGACAAAGTCGAGATACTTAATGTTGCTGCTGTTCAGCCTAAGTAGAGCAGTTTGGGAATGGCAGCTGCCAGCGAAGTCAGTTGTATTGGGGTTGATGTTAATAACCGAAACAACCTTTAGGGGAAGAAGAGGGGGGGAAGGTACAGATTAACCATAAATGTCTACAACTAAACCTTATACTCTAACAAGACCAACTTTAGTGGAGAACAAAACAACTCTTTTGTCTGAATACTTAAGTTTATGATGTCTTACTTTCAAACAGTTGGCACAGGCTCTCAAGCTATGACTCAGACAACTTTAAAAAAAAAAAAACCACAAAAAAACAAGAGGGAAGCTTCCTTAGTAATGAGCCAAATGAAAATACACAAAATTTATGGAGCATAAGAGCTGTCTGGCTTGTCTAAATCATAGGACTCTGGAAATGGGATTTGTTCATTGGCACGCCCTCTGTAGCCTCAGTGGAACACTGCAACTAGAAGTGTCATCCTGTACTTGAACATTAGCTATAGGATTCCAGTCATCAAATAGCTGGAGAAACAGATAGTGGCACTGTTCCCATACATCAACCTACAGTGCATGTTTCAGATAAAAGTGTGAAGGAGTTATATTTAAACAGACTGAAATAACGATAAACTCAGATATTCTCTGATCTACTGATGGCAAATAGAATCTAAACATCCAAAGAGTCCTTTAAACTGCTAGGTTTCCCACTGCCCAAAATAACACCTTGACAGCAACATTAACTCTTCATGGTTATTTATAGTAACTCCAAACTCATCAAAACTCAGTTAGTCAACATCGAATCTCCATTTAAAATGCCATTATTCCAGTAACACTACTCTTGAGCTGAATGTAGGATACATTATTTGAAAGGAGATGCAAATAGAATGTAGCCATAAAAATAAACAACCATACTTCACCTTGAGTGATAGAGACAACTATACCTTATCTTGAGTCATGCTCAGCTGCAGCCCCATGGTAGCCAGAAGACAAGTACCATTGCTATTATTAACTGAATAGGTTCCAATCTCTGGTTTTTCCTTTTGAGTGGGTGTTGTAGTAGGAGATGGCAAAGTGGTGGGAGTGATGGGCACCACAGTGGTTGAAGTTTTATCTTTATCACACAGAAACTCTAAAACAAACAAAGGACAAAATAAACTAAAGCAGACTTTTTCTTAATTCATAAGGCCCAGGAAGAGCTAAATATTTCTCACAATAGCAGTCCAAAAGAAGGGATTTCTAGCCAGCCTCTTACATGAAAATCAGAGATTTACATTTGAAAACATTTTGTCCCAACGTAGGCCTGCCCTCCTTCTCTTCCACATACAACTACTACAAAGGAGGATAGCGTTTACCAGAAGAAAGTTTAGAAATCATTGAAGGATTTAAATACAATATCTGTGTTACCCCTACAGCAAATCATAGGCATTTCAACCTCTTTTTAGGAAGTGTTGGTAGTTTCCCAAAACTGGTAAGTGAGAAATTATTGCGTTTCCATAAAGTCATATGAAAGTTACAAAACAATTTATAAAATTCAAGATTAGAACCCAGAAATCTAATTCCTACGCTTTTGTCTTGCATCATCAAAAGCAAAAGAGCTGAGGATCAAATACTATTTAAGGATTTGTTCAAAGATTAGGTTATATCAGATGAAAACACTATGTGGAAAGCATTTTAAAATACCATTCCACAAGAGGTACATTATAAACAAAATTGCAAGTTCCACAAGAATAAGAATTGCTATTATTTATAAAAATTTTACAGTCCAGTGTAAACTATGAATAAGTCTTAGTATATGCATGCTTGCAGGTAACAACTTCAACAAAGCTACCTGGTATGCTCATCTTAAATTAGGACCCAAATACAGAAATATACACTTTAAGTAGTCACCTTTTGTGCTCACTGTGCCATTTTGGACAAAAGCTTGTACATGAACATCCCAATAGTTCTGGGCAACATTGCTCTTTTCTAAAGTCAATATACTATTGCATCTAAAGATGTCATCCAAGGGAATGCTGAATATCACATGCTCATAAACAGTAAAATTTCCTGTAAAAAAAGAAAAAAAGAAAAAAGATTAACAATAGCTGTTTTCAAGAAGGTAGGAAAAAAGTGATAATATAAATATATATTAGACTTTCTTCTCTTCTGTCTGCCTGCCCCACCCCATCCTCAAAGTGACAAAGGACATGGCATCTTCAGGAAATGACACATTCGCTGTGGGTGACAGGGCATAAAAGAAAAGATGTAATGGGAGTTAGAAAAGGAAGACAGGCTGTAGGTGGTCACACTCTGAAGCATCATATATGATCTAAGAATAGGTTAGTTGGGCTTTATTTTGTTACCAATGGAAGGTCAGCTCCAGTTTTTAAAGCTGGAAATAAATAACACGTGTATAATTTATTTTAAGGGAGATAGCAAAATTGTAGAGGATAGGCAGGGGAGAAAAATGTTAAGGAAAGTCATTTAAGAGGGAAACCATTTAGAAGCCTGATGACATAGGTAAGGTGAAAAGCAAGGAGGGGGATGCCTAAACTAAGATGGTGAGGAGCAGTAGGAAGAGAGCAAAGGGGCCAAACTGAAACACATATGTAAGGTAGAATCAACAGGACAGTGACAAAACAAGGAAGAGAGATGCATTAATAAGGAATTTTATAGTAAATCCTTATTTTTGTGATACTATCCCAAAGTAAGTTATAGTAACTACATGAGCTTTTGAACCTCTTCCTGGATAGAATTAAAGACTATTCCATTTCATGAAATCTTCAGAATGTAAAAGCAATATGTTACAGCCATTCTGTACAGAGCATTTATTATAACTCCTATAGCAAAACTTTAAAAGGCTGTGATCAGCCCTAGCCAGTTTGGCTCAGTGGCTAGAGCATTGGCCTGCAGACTGAAGGGTTTCAGGTTCAATTCTGGCCAAGGGCATATACCTTGGTTGCTGGCTTGATCCCCGGCCCCAGTCGGGGCACATGTGGGAGGCAACCAATTGATGTGTCTCTCTCACATTGATGTTTCTTTCCCTCTCCCTCCCTCTCCCTCTCCCTCTCCCTCCCCTCCCCC